TTTGTGCTCAAGTATCAACACAGTTAACACATAAATTTCATAATTGGCTTCTCTGAATCTCCAAACGAGCCTAGCTCAGTGTACATTAAATCTATGATGCCAATTACCTATCTATTCCACCCTAGGAGTCCCTGGTCCTCTGCCTAGTCTAGCCTAGCTACTCTTACTACTATTATACAAGCCTACCACGACCTGACACCGACCTGGGCAACCGATTGGACCTTGTCCAGGAGGAACGTGACACTCTACCATACGCCACCTGGGTGGTCTACTTTAAGTCGCGCCTTGAACCGAGTATCCTGGTTCTGAAGCTAGCCTATCCTAACCCCACTTTGATTATTGTCCCTGCATTAAGCGATTCCTTCATCTCTGACCCTCAGTGGGTGTGCCTCCAAACCCATTTTGACCGCACCAACCCTTTCCTTGGATGCACCGCAACCAGTTGGTGATTTTTTGCCCAAGTTCGGAGGAACCAACGAAGCTGGCGGCGACTTCCTTTGCCGGGTTTCGCCTTACTCCTCCAGTCTGTCCAGATAGCATGCTTTAGTCCTTGCTTGATCGAATGTTTGACCTCCAAGTCCGAGAAAGGGCGTCTTTGGAACCTCGACCTGTTTCTGTTGGACCAGATAGTATCCCATATCAGGCCTCTTACTACATGTGCGATGTAGCCCCATCCACGGTGCCCCTCAACATCAACTGGGAGGAAGCCCAACAGTACCCACCTCTCATTCCACACTACACCTTTGCCACCAAAATCCCTCCAATGGTGTGCCCACCAATTCCAGATACCTTTGGAGGCTGGGCATTCCCACCACATGTGTCTAGTGGACTCGAATGACCATCTACACCTTGTGCATGCTAAACTTACCTCCATGCCTCTGCTTGTCAACCAGACCGCAGAGGGGGATACCATTAGGGACAACATCCAAAGCAGGTTGACTTGCTTGCCATTTGGGAGGGATGTTAAGACTTCTCATAGCTTCTCGAAATCCGACGTTGCATCTGAGAGACCTTCGTCCCAGACGGCCTGCCAACGAGGGATTGCTTCTTGTGCTGGTGTTTTCAACTTGTGGGCGTACTGTTTATATCCTTATGAGACCGAATAATTGCGCAGCCGCAGGATTCCATCTTCAACTGTTTTCGGTGTCCAACTCCATGCGGTTGGGTCTATACACAGCTATTTGAGCGGCCATCTGCCCACCCAAGTATAAATACAGGTTGAAGGTCTTCTTCACTGAGTTGCCAAGACTCGGGCTTGTGAGGGGTTGTCCCAAAGCAGTACAGTGGCTTCCTCCACCAGTGAAAATATATTATCCGAACCTTACACTTCCACCGCTCGATGTGCCTGAAATCATTGGGAAGGATCTCTAACACTTTCCACAACATTCCCTCTTCCCCAACTCCGTTCGGTACGTACCACGTGCCTTCTAGGTCCAACCCTTCCGAGCCCAATATGGCTAACCATTCATGGGGGATAGCATTGATTAGGAGCCTCCAATGCTCCTCCGTCTTCTGGAGACCCCCGAGTGCAGTCTTTACTTCAGCCAGTGACCTCCACCCACCCAGAACAAGGGACCACAAATCTGAAATTTGCACTGCTCCCCTCCGGACCCAGGCCTGACCAAAGTATCCCCTGGGGCCATTTGCTAGGAAGGTCTGTCCTGCATAGTCCAACACTGCTGGGTTCTCAACCAGAAGCTGATTTAGGACTTCTTCTTTGGTGCTCAGGGGGTTCTGCATATCAGGAGGCATGCGGTTCCACGCCCGACGGATTGACTCTCGTAATTTGGACTTGATTCTTTTTCTCTGGAAGGAGGGCATGAAGAAGTAAGCCCAGACGTCTTGTGGCCTACTCGGTTTCCAGTCACTCATCAGGATGTGTTCAGCCACCGCCACCTAGTGCTCCCGGGTCTTCATAGTGGCTACTTTGGCCACCCAGTTCCGTAGCCGAGGCTGGTTTCTGTTGGCAGGGTCCAGCAAGCCAAGGCCCCCTTTTCGCCAAGGAAAGTAATTGTGTCAAATGCTACTTTGGTCAGGAAACCTTCCGGTTCCACAAGAAGCGCGCTACCAACCTCCTTACAACCTTGATCACTCCGACCGCTATCTCCCTAATTGTTGATGCAAACCATAGGATTGAAAACAAGGCTATGTTAGCTACCAGTGCACGACCCAACAAGGACAAGTGCCACGTATTACCCCACGCACCCAACCGTGCAGATATGCACTGTTGAAGCAAGTAGCTCTTGGGATGATTCTTCGATTTGAAGGCTGATCAGCATCCCTAAAAACCTCCCTTCCTCCCCGCGCTCCACTCTTCTCAGCCCCCATTCAACTTCCAGGGAGAACTGTGCTGGAAGCAGATAAGTGGACTTGTTCCAGTTCACCGTTGCCTCGGATAGGATGGAGTACTCGCCCATAATCGTATTTAGTGCAGACAACGAGGGGACAAAATTCTCACTCACTGCGAAGAGGTCGTCTGCAGGTGCTTTTCACTTTGCAGACTTCTCCGGTGTGCAGATGCAAACCTCTGATGTCCGGATGTCTGCGGATTCTGTTCAGCAGAACTTCAAGTTGCAACACGAAGGGCCTAGTTGCACTACTCGCCATCCGCCACAATTCGTGGCGGGTGCGTGGAGAGTGAAAAAAAAGAGAATTGTGTCGAACTCGAGGCCTGGTTGCACTTACTCGCCGCTATATTTCTTCTACAGAAAAGTTGAAAATTTTTGTCTACCTGATGTCGATTCGTGCAGCCCTGCACTCTCCAGAAAGCTGTTTTTTGGAGAGGTCCGAGGACCACCCTCCACAAACCGTTGTGCACAGGCGGGGAAACCGAAAACACTCTCCACCACTTGTGTCAAAGGTGTGGCGAGCCGTCTGACACATTTTGCATTCGCCAAGTTTGTACAAGTTTTGCGAGTAAGGGGCTCGCCACACAGGCTTTCGAAAGAAGGCATTTTTCGAAAGGTGTCAGACTTTTTTTGAAAGTCTGCTCGTCGAAAGGAACCCCCCCCCTCGCCACACAGACTTTCGAAACACCCAGGCCTTTCGATGTATGCACATTAGGGCCTGACTCATTGCTTACTACGCGTGTAAAAAGAGAGTCTGAATCTTTGCCTAGAACATGGAAAGATACTTCGCCATAATTTTTGTCGTTTGTGCATGTCGAGAATAGTGGAGGCAGGCCCTTGGAATCGGCCCTTTTTTTTTTTTTTTTTTGTCGACCGATCAACAGTCTCGAGTGGGCCTTTTCAAAAGACCACTCGAGGTCTTTCGAGGAAAGGCTCGTGACAGGCGGGAGGATCTCATCTCTTCGTAAAGACTCTCATCTCTTCGTAAAGACTTTCGAAGCCGGCCCATCTGACACCTTTCGAAACTTTTTTGAAAGAACTGGTTTCGAAAGGCTGTGTGGCGAAGACACGGCCTCCATTTTGCGCGTTTCGAAAGCCTGTGTGTCTCGCCACACTACCTGTCGAAAGTGCAATTTTCGACAGTCCGAGTCGCCACACCACCTGTCGAACAAAAAAATGTCGACACATCTTCGACACCTGTCAGAAGTTGGCGTTCGACGGCTCCTTTCGAATTCAAGGTCTCGCCCGCCTGCAACATAGGCATTTTCGACAGTCCACCGCCGACCTATCGAGTTCTCCTCGAAGATTGTTGAGCGGGACTGTGGTCGGGCTGGAGAAATGCTTGTCCTATACTCATGCGGGTTTGTCTCTTCTGCACTTGAATTCGCGAGCCCTTCACTTCGACAGTGCTGTGTGGCCGAGGGGGGGGGTTCTGTCGAAACTCTTCCTTTCGAGTTTTCGACGACAACTTTCGAAAAAATGCACTTTCGACAGCTGGTGTGGCGAGCCCCTAAGTGCAACCAGGCGCCTACTCGCCAAACTTGATGTATGGTGAGTAGTGCAACTACCAGGCCCGAAGACAAGAGGGGCTAGTGGACAACCTTCGCATAGCTACCTCTAGAGCAAGAAAGAATCTGACAAATGACCCCGCTGAAGTGGAGAAGGTATACATTTCTTGCTCTGACAAATCACCCCGCTGAAGTGGAGAAGGTATAAATGGCTATTACCCAGGCACAGAATCCTTCAAGTTGCAACACGACGACAAGAAGGGCTAGTGGGCAGCCTTGGTTATTACCCAGGCGACAAATGACCGTTTATCAGAACCGCTGAAGTGGAGAAGCGACATTCCAAGACGATGGGCCTCGCTGCACTACTCTTGAAATGCACAAAAGCCAAAAATCATGTCGCTGTATCTTTCCATGTTCTAGCGGAAGATTCACTCTCGTTTTGCACCTTTCAAGAGTAGTGCAGCGCGGACATCTCCAAGGGCCTGATCCCACTACTACACTACAGCCCAGTTACACTGTAGTTTGCGGATCCCACCACTTTCCGACTTCGTCGCAGCCGCCGAAATATTTTGCCATACTTCCGTTTGTATGTGTCGTGGCAGCACCTCCGCGAATGGTGCAAGCGGAGTTGCTACAAATTTTGTGTAGGCCATGAGGGCATCTCTGCAGCGAAAAAGAGGGAGCATTTTTTTTTTTTTTTTTTTTTGTCTATCATCCGTTTGCAGCATTTCGATTGGCTGCCCTCTGCAACAGCCCACAAAGAACCGTCGCGGGTTCAGGAATTCAGGAAAAGCACCGAAAGAAGTCGCCCTGGTGGGATCCAATTTTTCTTTTTGGTCCCGCCACGGCCGCTGACATCTTTGTAGTGCTTTTTGGCGACTACAGTCGTAGTGTAGTGGTGGGATCAGACCCCAAGAAACAAGAAACAAAAAACAAAAAAAAATACAACTCCTTATTTTTCGGGGAAGGGTACGGGGTTGGTGTCTTTTGGGTTTCGGAAGAACAGCCTCGCCGCCAAATGCGCCCCGCATGCCACGCCCCGAGATGTTTCGACCTCCTCGAAAAAAGAGGGGCGCCTCCGCATCGCCGGGAAAGAAGTGGGATCCCGAAAATTCCCTAAAAGTGCCGCGCCTGCTCAGGCGGAATCGGCCCCTTACGCGCACACGGGCATTGACGACGATCACCAGAGCCAAACCCTTCGTCGAGCGGCATTGTCCCGCCATAGCCGCTGCCACCAGCGCCACAGCCGCCTGCAACCAGCGCTGTAGTCCCCCCCCTTTCGCCCCTCTCCGATCCCCCCTCGCCCCCTTGCCGCGAGGACCATAGCCCGATGCCCCAGCTCCACAGCTCCTGCCGCGACCGGCGTAGCCCCCTTCCACCACCGTCCACGGAAAGCCATATCGGCCATCCGCCCACAAAGCCTGGCGAGCAGAACAGCGCCCAGCTGTGCGTAAGTAACTCTACTTTTCGTGCGTTTCTTCTTCGTCTTGACCATAAACCTGGGAGTTGTATTTCTGGTTTGCTTTTCGCAGGAGGAAGTTTGCCCGATTGGTATGCTCAAAGGGAGAGCGAGGGAGAGCGAGGGAGAGCGAGAGCGAGCGAGCGAGCGAGAGAGAGAGAGAGAGAGAGAGAGAGAGAGAGAGAGAGAGAGAGAGAGAGAGAGAGAGAGAGAGAGAGAGNGAGAGAGAGAGAGAGAGAGAGAGAGAGAGAGAGAGAGAGAGAGAGAGAGACACTTGCAATATTAGACAACACGTGCGAGGTTTTACTTTGGCAGCATACACGTCCTGTCCATGGCATGCGACCATTGTCGCGATTACCCTTCTACCTCACTGCTCAGGTAATCATTTCAGCCACTGTCTCTGAATTTATACCCTATTCTCCTTACCCTCACCACCTACTTGTCCAACAGCCCTGCATATGAGGAGAGAAAGAGATTGATAGCAGGGGAGAGAAAGCGGCAGAGTGAGGACGGAAAATGCACATGTCATATTGAGGGCGAGGGAGTGCAGGAGGGCAGAGTGAGTGTGAGAGGAGGGGAGAGATGCAGAGACGAGCAGGGAAGGTAGAGTAGGGGAGGAGAGGGAGTGCACACAGGGGAAACAGTGAACAGGAAGTGGCGGGAGGGAAAGGTAACAATGAGGGGCTTCTGAGTTTCATGTCTCGAAGTCACCACTCGGATTTCGCCGACGCGATGAGACCTCTCATGGCTCATTGCATTCTCTGACAGGACAGAAAGAAAGGGGAAATCCTGAGGGCATACTCGCACTAGGACTTTCTGTACTCATCTCTGGACGTCATTGCGGTCAGATACTCTCAGAACAGTGTTAGTTTGGGTATGCCCGGAGGGTCGATCCTTGCCACAGGGCCTCGTTCCACTACTAACACCAAATGTGCAAAAAACGAGAACGAATCTTCTGCTAGAAAAGAGGAAGATACAGGTCCCTATTGCTGTATTTGTCTTTTGTGAATGTGGTCAGTAGTGGAGCGAGGCCACTAGGCGCAGTTCCTGGTAACGGATCCAGAGGACAGCTTGAGAGGAGCTGAAGGAAGCGGGAAAGTAGAAGTGGACATGAATTCGAGAGCGAATGGCAGGCACGTCGAAAGTATTAGCAAGCTCGAAATGGCGGGAAACTAGAGAAGGCAAGCTCGAAATGGCGGGAAACTAGAGAAGGACATTGCACAGGGGGGGAATAATAGGACACTGAGGAGCTGAAAGAAGCGGGAAAGTAGAAGTGGACATGACTTCGAGAGCGAATGGCAGGCACGTCGAAAGTATTAGCAAGTTCGAAATGGCGGGAAACTAGAGGAGGAGGCACGTCGAAAGTATTATCAAGCTCGAAATGGCGGGAAACTAGAGGAGGACATTGCACAGGGGGGGAATAATAGGACACTGAGGAGCTGAAGGAAGCGGGAAAGTAGAAGTGGGCATGACTTCGAGAGAGGAAGAACAAGAAGACGTGTCAGGGATATATCGAATGGCAGGCACATCGAAAGTAGTAGCAAGCTCGAAATGGCGGGAAACTAGAGGAGGACATTGCACAGGGGGGGAATAATAGGACACTGAGGACCTGAAAGAAGCGGGAAAGTAGAAGTGGAGATGACTTCGAGAGCAAACGGCAGGCACGTCGAAAGTATCAGCAAGCTCGAAATGGCGGGAAACTAGAGGAGGCACGTCGAAAGTATTATCAAGCTCGAAATGGCGGCAAACTGGAGGAGGACATTGCACAGGGGGGGAATAATAGGACACTGAGGAGCTGAAAGAAGCGGGAAAGTAGTAGGGGACATTCGAGAACTAGAAGACGTGCCAGGGATGGTGAATGGCAGGCACATCAAAAGAGTATTAGCAAGCTCGAAATGGCGGGAAACTAGGAAAGGGCATTGCACAGGGGAATTGGACGCGCAATTTGAAGGGCTCGATCCCTGCATCATCCATTTTACGAGCATCATCCAAGCTTTTACACATGCATCCTTGCACGTGGATCTGGAGAGTGGATGGGCCTCGCTGCACTACTCTTGAAATGCACTAAAGACAAAAATAATGTCGCTGTATCTTTCCATGTTCTAGCGGAAGATTCACTCTCGTTTTGCACCTTTCAAGAGTAGTGCGCGAGGCCCGATGATGCTCACATTTGCGCTGCCACATTGCGGTGCGTATGATTGCGCGTGGATGACGTTGTGTGCGTGTTGTAAAGTATGTGACGGATCTGTGAAGGGCTCGATCCCTAGACCTCATTCCCGTAAGAGCGGTCCCACCGCACTACCCCTCAGCCAAGGCCACAGGGTGCGTTCATCGATGGTGGGCGCAAGCCAAAGCTCCCACCCCCCTAGCATTCGCGCTCAGCAGTAGAAGCCTCCTCTCATCATCCAGGTTTGACGAGTCTGAGTCATCTGTATTCTTAGATACAGAAGAGTGTACGACCTACATCCTGTTTACGACCTACAGAACAGATCCTGTTTACGACCTACAGAACAGATCCTGTTTACGACCTACAGAACAGATCCTGTTCAAGTACAGTCGTCCCAGACCTCATTCTGAGTACCAGACACCTATATTTCTGGCATGTCCTTGATACCAGAACGTCCTGCATTTCTGGCCCTTAAGAGAGATTGACCGTAGGTACCCCTCTCGTACTGAGTCTACTGACTTGTTATTCATGACATACCCCTGAGATCTGCTTAGCCGTTAGGCTGGTCCGGCGCATAATGGTCATGCACATCACCGTGACAAATATATATACTAAATATATAAATAGTATAAAGATCACAATATTACACAAATAAGTAAGTATTATTATATAATTATATTGATGTATATGATCTTTATTATGTCGAACTCACAGTCATATAGGATCTGATACAATATTATTTCAGATCCTATATGACTGTGAGTTCGACATTGAGTTGCTGCTGGTACTCTTCTCCGAGCGTCCGTTCATTGTATCAGTTGAGTTGTGCGTCGGAGTCTGGTTGTGAATGTGTGTTGTGTGTTCCATACACAAACTCTGCAAGAAAAAGCATTACTGTGCCCGACTGTTACGTCGGACTTTCACCGACTCATCAGTCAGTCAGGAGGTTGAACCCCGACAGACAGACAGTCTGCCCAGGGTGCATTTGACTGATGGATAAGGACTCACCACGTTGCCGAGAGTTAATGATACCCCTGAGAAAGGTGGTCGACTTTACTCACACCAACCCTGCAATTCTAGCAGACCGTCGCTCCGAACCCCTGACAAGAATTGCAGCATGTGTGTGTGTGTGTGTGTGTGTGTGTGTGTGTGTGTGTGTGTGTGTGTGTGTGTGTGTGTGTGTTATCATATTCGCTATACACTCAAAAAAAAAAGCATGACTGCGGCAGACTGTTTCGTAGGATTTTCACCGACTGATCAGGAGGTTGAACCCCAAAAGTCTGCCGAGGATGGATTTGACTGATGGATAAGGAGTCACGACATGGCGCAGAGTTAGCGATACCCCAAAGAGAGAAAAGTGGTCGACTCTACTCACACCAACCTTGCAATCCGAGCAGACTGTTGGTCTAAACCCCTGACGAGAACGGCAGTAAGTCTGAGAAACTAATCTGGCACAGTCATAAAACCCACTCTAGACACTCACTCAGCCATGGACACCCAATGGCATGACCGCTAGTACGGTCCCGACCCTAGCCGCATCGATCCTTTGTGTGTGTGTGTGTGTGTGTGTGTGTTTCTCTGTGTGTGTGTTCACTCCCTGTGTGTGTGTGTGTGTGTGTGTGTGTGTGTGTGTGTGTGTGTGTGTGTGTGTGTGTGTGTGTGTGTTCACTCCCGCGCACCCCTTCTCCTCGTTGAACCCAGTGCAGATCACAAAGTAGGTGATGTGTGCATGCAGATGTGGATAGTGGAGGAAAGCGAATGGGGGAAGAAGAGGTCCTACGTGTGTTTGGAAAGCCCAACCTACCTCAATTTGATTGGTCATGTGGCTTACAGTGAGGAAGCCTCGTCATAATTCTTGATGCTGGGTGCCTGTGTTGAAAAGGGTTCTGGTCGCACACTGACATCATCAGTCGGATTGCGTGTAGAAGATTTGAAAGAACTTTAGACTTTCCTTTCCTGCCCAGACCGAATAAGCTTCTGAATTTTGATTGGGCGGTTATGGTCGGGATCCCGACTATGGGGCGGGTATTGTTGCCTGAATCAGTCGGGTAGACAACTAAATAGCAGCCAATTGGGGCTCGCTCCACTCACCACACAGTACTGTCCATGCAATTGGGCGCTTTCTTGTATCTATGCATTTGAAATGTTGGACTCGTTCGAATGCACCTGGACCCGACGGTAGTTCGAACTAGACATCTTAGGGCAAACTCGCAGTAGGACTTTCTTCTTGTTGTTCTTGTTGTTTTCTACTGCGTGTTTTTTTTTTTTTTTTTTTTTTTTTTGGGCTATGTTCTTCTTGTTGTTTTCTGCTGTGCGTTTTATTTTTTCTCTCTTCTTTTTGCTGGTTAACGTCGCTTTTTACGTAAGCGCTGCGTTGTGAAGGAGAGTATTCAGTCTTTCTGACTTGACCTTTTTTTTTTTTTTTTTCCCCTGACTCACCTTTTTGTGTCTGTATGTATTTCCGTTTTGTGTGTGTGTGTTTATAAAATTGTGGGGAACAAGTTTTTGGAGTTGTTGCAGAGTGGGAGATCTTTGGACCTAGCAGGGTTGCAGGTCTGAAAGCTGTCGGTGTTTCCCGAATTGGAAAGTCCGTGGCATAGTTTTTTGGTTTCTATGGATACCCTTGCGGCCTTCGTTAATTGCGACCTGCTGAAAAGCAATGTGGGTAAGCGAGTACGGACAGTCATCAAAGTTAATCGGATAGAAAATGGGGCTATAGTTGGAGAAGGCCCAGGTGGAGGGGTTATAACGGTCAAGCCAGGCCGTCGTGGATTAGACACAGCCCCCAATAGATATCGGGAGGTGATCGGAATTGCAGAGGGGGGATCGATCATCGCTGAGGAGGTCGGCACAGATTTTGGCGATAAGTTTGGTTGGTGATCTGTTCTTCCTTCCACCTCGCTGCTTTGTGCTCCGCTCCAAACCCTCCTGTTCCGTTCCTGTCTCCTGCTTTTCCCTCCTCCTCCTCCCCCCTCACCCTCCCTCTCTCTCTCTCTCTCTCTCTCTCTTTTCTCTCTTCTCC